CAGCCATAAACACAACTTAATATTGAGTGATGATGGGGTTGAGGATGGCCAAAGTTGTGAAGGTTGCATGCGTTCCATCTCTACTTCATTTTACTCTTGTGCACAATGTAATTTCTTTCTCTGTAACTGCTGTGTTCATGAGTTACCCAAGAAGGTGCGTCACTGGACTTGCATGCATTTAAGAGAACTCTTTTTCTATTCCATTTTTTATTGTGACTATTGCCGGTTTTGGAGTAGTGGATTTGGCTACAATTGTAATGCATGCAGGGAGATTATGTGCATCCGGTGTCATGAAATTCCCGACGCTCGTATTGTAAATATAGAAGGACAGGAGCACTTCCTTTTCTTTGGCCACAAATACAAAGAAAAATGTTGTGGTTGTCATGATGATGATTTTTATCGAGACAGTTTTAGATGCAAGGACAAGAAATGCAATTTGGTGTTGGATTATAGATGCCTTGTGCTACCACAAACAGCTCGGTACAAATATGACGAGCATGCTCTCAAGCTTACTTATCGTGATGATCATGATCTAAGTCAATGTTATTGTGACATATGTGAAGAAACCAGAGATCCGAAGCAGTGGTTTTATCATTGTGCCTATTGCGATGTTTCTGCTCATCCTAATTGTGTGCTTTGGAAATCCCCTTTTGTCAAGCTCGGGAAACCATTCCGGATTGATGTTCACGAACACCCTGTCACTTTGGTGAAGATAGATTTTTATCCTCCTAGATGCAACGACTGTGGTGAGCCTTGTAGAGATGTTCTATCCATTCAATGCACAGAGCCAGATTGCACCTACATATTCCACTGGGGCTGCTACTGGAGTCGTGAATATTCTTCGGTTTGGTGTCTTCTACATAGAGACTAAAGAGCTAACATTGGTATTGTTCTTCTGATATTAATTATGTCTCTTATGAAGGTAGACGAAAATGAGATATCTCATTTGCACTTTATTTTGTTTTCGACTGACTTTTTAAGTTTAGTTTGATCTTCTAGCTGTTGGTTAATGTGGTCGGACTGTAACTTGTTTGTTTCTACCAAATATGTGATATGACTATTGTTTGAATTTTGAATGTATTGCTTTAAATGGTTGTTTTTTCTTATCAATAATTCGGTTGTCTTTGTACTTCAAATACAGAAAAATATTTCTTTCTCCTTTTCTTTATAGATTTTGATATTTATTTGTTTCTATGTGTCCTATTTATGCTTTCTTCAATGGTTCATATATTCTCTACCTATATTTTTACACAGAGAGGATATATTATATTTTCTACTTATATTTTTATACAGAGAGAATATATTTTAATAACAAGATATTTTATCTTATATCGAAACTTATTATTAGCAATTTTTATTTTGCAAAATCATATCAATTTTTACCAAATAAACAATAAAGGCATTCCTTGCGGAGACTTCTGAAGGAAAAACCTTATAATTTTTTTTTTTCTTTTCCTTTTGGGAAAGCCTTATAATTAGTTCTTGTTCTTCTTTACACTATTCCTGAAGGATTGAATTCAAAACCTTTCTTGACTCCAGCCAGTTCTTTGATTACTACACAAATGCTTTATTGGCTTTCACAAGTCTCTATCTATCTTGATAAAGTAACAGAAATTAGAATAACTGCTCATAAAATTCATGATTCATGAACATGAAAGAAAGAACTAATTTCAGGGTTATAAACTCATCATTACATGTCAATATGTCATTGTTCCCTCAACCTATCTCAGAATATCAGAACTAACACCGGGAATTGAAGCAATACCAGTTATATCCATCAGTTAACAGATAGTTGGAAGATCAAGTGAGCTCCACAGACAAAATTCACCTTCATGGCTTGAAGAAGATCCTGTTTCCACTGAGCTACTGGGAGAATCCAGGCACTCCTCCACTTTCTTCCCCATCACTTCATTTTCATTTCCTTCTCCTTTCTTGTCCTCTAGACTTTGAATTGACAGTTCAGCTTTTACTCTTCCACCCTTGACATTTTCTAACTCGAGCCTCAGCCTCAAACACTCTGGTATTCCATTGAAAGCATAAAAAGAAGTAGAGAACTTCCTCTCGTACTTCATTCTCTTCATGGCAGCTCTTAACACTGAGGGCTTGTTCGAGAAATTCTCTGCCTCCACAGGCCCCTCAATCTCTTCAGCCATCTCAAAGGGAGAGTAGTAACTAGATGATCCATTATCATCCACAAAATGAAAATCAAGTGCTTCCATATCAAGTCCTTCTTCAACAATGTCATCACACCTAGAAGATTGAGCAGCATCACTGAAATTGCAATAATCTAACCCCAAATCTCTCCCACTAGAATTCGCCTTCTTTGTTAAACATGATTCAAGACTTGTTGTCAAGTAATTAGAAGCATTTGCAGTAGTGTTACTGATGTAGTAGCCATTGAAGATGCTGTAATCTTCAAGATCATTGAGAAAATCAGTGAATTGTGTATCAAACAAATCCCCTGATTCTCCATCATCCTTCTACTCTTCTCCTTGAATTTCTTAGTTGTTGATCAAGGAAGAATCTGGCAAGGAAGCAAAGGTGTTGTTTCTGGCTCTCAACCTTTGGAGAAGGAGGCTAGTGATCTTAGAAGGAAGAGCTGGGGTAGGATTAGAAGCCGGAGAACATGGCCAGAAGTTGGTCCTGGTGTTGGCACCACAGAGGATGCAGCCTGCCTCATCATAAGCCCTGGCTGCCTCCTCAGCAGTGTCATAGGTGCCTAGCCACACTCTTATCTTCTGTATGGTGTCTTTGATCTCAGCCACCCATCTGCCAGATGGCCTTTGCCGGACTCCAACAAATTGCTTCCGAGCCCTCTTGGCTCCTCCCAGGGCAGTAGCAGCTGCTACTTCCTTCACCATCTCATCCCAAGTGGCTTGAAGGCCTCGTGTCTGGCCAAACGTGCAAGTGTATGCCTGCTTTCTGCCGAGCAGGCATGAGAAGTTGATGTGAAAGCTAATCGAGCTCGACGCCAATCAGAGGGTCGGGCAGGCGCGCAAGGGTGATCTTACATAATGAATTCTGTGGCGGAGCGGAGGCGAGCAGATAGTGAACGGGCTGAACACACTGACCCTAGACGGGCAAAGAGTAGCGACCGCACTCGTCACTTCAATATAGATCTTTGGGATACAGAGTAACTCTGAGGAAGTCGGTTACGATCTAACGCTCGATGCCCGAAACGAGGTGAACCCATGATTTGTGCGACCTGACCTCCAGAGGTTTTTCGAATTTAGGATCTCTGAAGAGATCTCTGATTAGTAACGAGCTGATTTCTCGAGATTGTCAAGTTTTGAATTTTGGGTAGATCCGTGAGGAGATCGCGGATTTGTTACGAGCTGATCCCTGGACTTTTCAAAATTTGGACTGTGGCGAATCTCTGAGGAGATTTGCCTAAGTCTCGAATTTGTTACGAGCTGATTATTGAAGTTTGTCGCAATCTGATCCTTCGAATTTTTCGACAATTATGGCGAATCTCTGAGGAGATTTGCTCAGGGCGTTTGGTATTCTTCTGCTTTTAACAGATACCCTTTTGCCTCCCCACAATAAATGCTGGCTCAGCATTTGAGGGGACGTGACAGCTGCAAACGGCGCGTTTTGGGTTTTTAACCATAAATGGTTGCCACGTGGACACGCTTAACTGAGGGGCCGTAAACACGTGTACGGTGTTTACGGAGCACCATCTGAACGGCCAAAACAAAACAAACAGTTTGTCATTTCTTTTCATTTCATTGCAAAGCACATTCGTACGTTTTTCAGAGAAGATTGCAGAGACATTCACGGCCATTTTTCCAGACTTCCAGCGAAAGCACGTTAACCTTCAACTACTCAGGTAAAAATGGCTTCTTTCCACGATGCACAAGGATTCCGGGGTAACCAAGGTGAAGACGAAAAGGTTGATGTGATATCCGTGGAGCCTATCGCGATGATAGTGTCGCCGGAGTTGCAGGATTCGCCCAGAACCGCCGCGCCGGAGAGTAGCGCCAGTTCAAGCGTGGGTGGTGGTTCTAAGAGCCACCGGTCGTCAACCTCCAGTGATTCGCCCACGGAAGAGATACCTGGTGGAGCGGAGGGTGTTGAGGAGGTTGGCTGCAGTGCACCGGTGACGAGTGCAGCAGCGGAGGTGGTGGTGTTCGAAGGGTGGGAGAGCAAAGTTTTGAGTGGACGACTGGATAACCTTCGTAAGGCTCCCAAAACCCTGCCGGCCGGCTTCAAGTTCAGGGCGGTGCTGCATCATGAGGTTGCAGATGGCGCGGCCACGGTGAAGGGTTACAAGAAGCTGGAGGAGATGGTGAGGCGATTCCAGATCCCCAGAACCATCCTGATCCGAGCTGGGACACCAAATGAACGGGCGTGTTCAGTGTCGTGGACGGGTTGGGTGCCAGTATACGTAGACCATTTTGACGCCGGTCTACGTTTTCCTTTACCCGGACTAATTTTTGACGTCCTGGCAAAGTACGAGCTGGTCCTTTCGCAACTTACTCCCAACAGCATAAAGTTTATCATAGGCTTTATGCTGTTGTGCGAAAGGTTGGGGATGCTTGCTAAGGCGGTGGTCTTTAGGTCGCTCTTCCTGTGCCGGTTGTGCCCGTCCACCAGTGGAACGAGATGGTACTACATCTCGGGGAGAGAGAAAATGATGATATTCACCAACATAAGGAACAAAGTGGCGAGGTGGAAGAGACAGTTCGTCTTCGTTCGGGATACACGAACTGAACGAATCAGTAACGAGCTCGCCGCCCGTCTGTCAGAGTGGCGCACACCCAACACCTACATGAACTACCCACAGCTGACAGTTGGTGATGTCGACCTGAAGAACCGGCTGCTCGACTATGTGAAGGCGAGGGGGTTGGTGGATCTAAAAACCTTGGTTACCCCGGACCAGATCGCACTTCGTGGGTCTGTCGACGTGGCAAACCTACACTCTCAATGTATATGTTTATAATATAGTAGGATTCCTAGCCGATCTGAGTCTTATGCCTTTCTTTGTGCAGGAGAAATGAGCAGCATCCTTGAGAGGCAACGGCAGCGAGTTCAAGGCTCAAGGAGCCGGGGAGCTGGGTCTGGTTCACAGCGTCAATCCCGCTTTGACGAGCGGCCACCTGCTGCACCGGGGCGCAGCTCGCAGCACTGGAGTTCCAGCTCGGCACAGAGGCCGCGTGTCGAGCAACGAGCAGAACCGGCGCCCTCAAGCTCAAGAAGGCGCGTACGGGAGGACTCCGACGCAGAGGACGACGTTCCCCTTATCCGGCAGAGGACAAGTACCGGCTCGCAGCCCGCTCCGGCCGTTGCTGCACAACTTGGCAATGTGCCCAAAGCTCCAGCTCGTGAGGTTGTCGAGCCAACACCAGCCTCGTCGTCTGTGGCGGGGCCTAGGAATGTATACCCTGACGGCTTCAGTTACGTACGGACTGAGTGCCATGCTGCCATGCTGCAGGGTATGCAGAACTTTGTGCCCCCCGCAGACCGGCTGCGTGCGAAGGGCCACATTCAATAGCATGGGGACATGCTGCTCTGATCAAGCTGATGGATGTAAGTACACTTGTCGAGCTCATTGTTGTATTTTATTACGTTTTTGCTATAAACTGACGAGTGAGCACGTGTTGTAGGCGTTCAGCTACACTGCCGTGCTATTCGAGTGCAAGTAGGGAGCCCGGGTGCAAAACAACGAGCTCCAGAAAAGCTGCAAACAATTGGCCACTGAAAAAGCCAGTTTGGCTAACGAGATCAGTCGTCTGCAGAGCTCGGAGATGGCAGACCAAGCGGCATTAGCTGAAAGCCGAGCTGACGAGCTGGCCCGTAAGGTTAACGAGCTGAAGGATGAGCTCGTGAGGGCCCGAGTGGAGAAGGAGAGTGGCATCCAAGCTGCGAAGGAGGAGGCCGGTCGTGCAGAGGACCGTGCCAAGAGGGCAGAAGCTGAGAGGGAAAAGACTCTGCGCGAGCTGAACGCCATGGCAGAGAGGGTCTCACAAGCTGACCAACACGTCACCCGAGCTGAGGCGTCCTTGGAAAAATGCAAGAGGCTCCACCAGCGCGACCTCTGCTTTGCCCGTGCATAGAGGGCTGAGTGGCTGGTGGGGGCAGATATGTTCCAGGACGCCGTGGCAGTGGCTGCAGCCAACACCACCACGGATATTTTCAATGAAGTTCGTGGGAAGGTGTTGGGAGTCCGGGCAGACTTCCCCATTGGTGAATTGGCCTTCTTCGAGGGCGAGGAGATCGATGCTGACGAGAAGAGTCTCACCCAGCCAGCGAATACCAGGGTGAAATTGAGATGGGAGCTCAACGAGGAGGGGCTGCCCGTGTGGCCCCCTTCTGTCGTTGAGGAGGGAGAGGACACGGAGGGGTTGCCGAGCTTCGATGCTTGGGTGGCAGACCCCAATGACGTGCTTGCTGAGCCTTCCAGCACTCCCCCCTCTGTTCCACCTCAGCCCGTCACGGCCGCAGCTCCAGCTATTCTCTCTCCTGCTCACTCTCCTGCTCACTCTCCCCCAGATCGGTCATTCTAGCTCGATCTGCTGCTGCACCAAACGACGCATCCATCCCCGTCGACCTGATGGATGATTAGTTTAGGAGCTTTTGCTTTGCTTTTTGTATTTCTTTTTGTCTTTTTATGTTAATCGAACACATGTACAAGAACATTCATGAAATACAACTCCAACCTTTACTTTTGAGATTGCAGTGTATTGCTCTTGTATTTTTGTGTAAATCGATGAAGTCATTTGAAAATGTACTCCTGATGTAAGAATTCATTGATCAAATGCAAATTCAAAACTGTTCTTTGGAAATTTCTGTATTGAATTTTCTGTAAATTACCATCTACAAATGATCCACAACGACCTGAACACTAGTGACATACATGTTAACTGTAAAGCTAACTCCTAACTGTAAAACTTTCTAAGGTTATGTATGTTCCAAATGAATGGTAATGGACGACCTTGTAAATCTGCTAACCGGTAAGACCCAGGTCGTTAATTAAAAATAACCATATAAGGTCCTTCCCAATTAGGCGCGAGCTTGCCCATGTGCGAGTAAGCATTCGTCAATCTTGCAACACGACTTTGATGCGCCATGATTCTTATTCTAGACATCTCTCTGACCTCTTCTACGAAGTCTAGGTTTTCTCTCAACAGTTGCTCATTGTTGAGATCGTCATGCCAGCCTGCTCGATCAGATGGCAATCCAACCTCTACTGAGATGACGGCCTCAGCTCCATAGGCCAAGCTGAAAGGGGTTTCGCCCGTGGCCGAGCTGGGTGTAGTACGACAAGACCAGAGCACTTTATTGAGCTCGTCAACCCAATTAGAATGTGCAGCTAAAACATGTGTCTTGAGGCCTCACAAGACGATTTTATTGGCGAACTCGGCTTGTCCGTTAGACTGTGGAGTATACACGGATGTCAAGGCGAGCTCAATGCCATAGTCGTTACAAAACGATCTCAGTGCTGCTGCTCGGAACTGTGGCCCATTGTCGGCGATAATCCGCTTAGGTATGCCGAATCTGCACACAGATGACCGAGCTAAGCTACAAACCACGTTTGCATATATTTTATTTATGACCTATGTCACCAAAGAATACCTGCACAGTATTGAATTGAACAAGAATTCTTCTATTTTCCTTTCTGTTGTCGTGGACAATGGTTTAGCTTCTATCCACTTAGTGAAGTAATCCACTGCAACGACCAGGAAAGTGCAACCTCCTTTGCCTTTGATGAAAAGGCCGAGCAGGTCGACACCCCATTGAGCGAAGGGCCAGGGAGACGTGAGAGATGATAGCATTTCCCCTGTTTCAAGGAAGATACTTATGCTCAGCTTATAGACAAACAGGAAGTTTGCATGATCTTTAGAACAGACTCAAATACCTGGCATGTGTATATCATCAGCATTGAACTGGCAGGTCGGACATTTTTTGACATAGGTCTACGCGTCCTCAACCATAGTGGGCCAGTAATAACCATGCCTCAGGAGTTTCCGAGCTAAAGTTTTGCCACCGATATGCGTGCCACATACTCCTTCGTGAACTTCCCTCACAGCGTATTCAGCTTCGTAAGGAGTAAGGCAGCGTAATAGGGGCATTGAGGTTGCTCGTTTGTAGAGCTGGTTATCTAACAAAGTGAAATGTGCCGCCCTGCGTTTAATCAATTTCGCAGCGGATGGATCTTCAGGTAACTCGCCACTTTGCAGATAATTTACGAGCGGTGTAGTCCAGCTCAGCGAAGAGGGATCTGTGCTAAGCAGCTGACATTCGACTGTGAAGTCGGTGTAACTAGGAGCATCAAGTACCTCCATTATCGTTGACCTATGAGGGTTGGTCTCGTGTGAGGAGGCTAACTTTGACAGTTCGTCGGCTCGTTGGTTATCTGCTCTGGGTATCTTGTCGATCCGAAATGAAGCAAATCTTGACTTCAATCTGTCGACCACAGAGGTATAACGGCCAAGCTGGGGATCCCTAACTTCGCAGCTGCCATTTACCTGGCACACAACGAGCTGAGAATCACTAAAAACTTGTATGCTCTGCACCTTCAGCTCGGACGCCAGCTTTAAACCATAAATGAGAGCTTCATACTCGGCAGCATTATTAGTGGTCTGGAACTTAAACCGTAACGCATGCTCGGATTTAAAGCCATCTGGGCCTATCAACACAGCTCCAACGCCTGACCCTTCAACGTTAGCAACTCTGTCAACATACAAAACCCAGACTGGGTATTCAGGTGTCTTTTCTTCCTCTGTCGCCGAGATGCATTCGACAAGGAAGTCTGCAATGGCCTGACCTTTTATGGTTGTGCGCGGCTGAAATTTGAGATTGTATTCACTCAACTCGACGCTCCATCCAATAAGCCGACCAGAGAGTTCCGGTTTTTGCAGTATCTTCCTCAACAGCAGATCGGTATAGACAACAATCTGATGTGATTGGAAGTAGGCTCTTAACTTACGAGCTGTGCACACTAGGGCAAAAGCAGCCTTCTCTGCTAATGGATAATTCTATTCAGCGCCCTGTAAAACTTTGCTCACATAGCAGATAGGCTTCTGATTCTTATTCTCTTCCCTCAGTAGAACTGAACTCACTGCTTCTTCTGTGACCCCCAGATACAGATATAAACATTCCCCATCGACAGGTTTGGACAGCAGGGGTGCTGATGCCAGATATTGTTTGAGCTCGTCAAACGCCTGTTGACATTCATCGGTCCACTCGAAGTTTTTAGGCTCTCGCAGGGCTTTAAAGAACGGGAGGCACCTTTCAACCGACCTGGCTATAAACCTGTGCAATGCTGCTATACGAACTGTCAGACGCTGTACATCTTTTACAGTCTTGGGAAGCTCCATCTGCTGAATGGCCTGGACCTTCTCTAGATTTACTTCAATTCCTTTCTTGGATACCACGTATCCTAGGAATTTCCCTGATTCCACAGCAAACGTGCATTTCAAAGGATTCAGCTTCATTTGTGCTCGGCGCAGGTTTTGAAAAGTTTCATCCAGGTCGCCTATGTGATCCTCAGCTCGCACACTGGTGACTATCATGTCATCCACATATACTTCTATGTTTTTGCTGATCTGGAGCTTAAAGATGATTTGCACCAGCTTCTGGTATATTGCTCCAGCATTTTTGAGGCCAAACGGCATCATGACATAGCAGTAGATTGCGTCACCAGCGTAAAAAGCTGTCTTCTCCTAGTCGCTTAATAGCAACTGAACCTGGTGATAGCCCGAGCTGGCGTCAAGAAAACTCATCCGTTCATGCCCAGCTACCCGCTCTACTAATTTTTCCACATTTGGCAAGGGATGAGGGTCTTTTGGACACGCCTCATTCAAGTTGGTGAAGTCAATGCATATCCTCCACTTGCCATTTGGTTTTTTCACGAGCACGGGATTGGACACCCACTCAGAGTACTCCACTCTTCTGATGAAGCCTGCCTGTAGCAACTTTTGTACCTCTTCGTCTATGGCAGCTTGCTTCTCGGGGCCAAAAAGGTGGCGTTTTTGCACCACCGGCCTTCTGGTGGGGTCCGTGCTGAGCTTGTGGACTGTCAACTCCGTTGGGATGCCAGGCATTTCATCCGTAGTCCAAGCAAATACATCCTGATTAACCCTCAAAAACTCCAGAAGCTCTGCCCGTTCCTCTTCTGTGAGTTTGGTGCCGATCTTGACCGTTCTTTCTGGCACATCAGGGTTTAGAGGGACTGTTTCTACTTGCTCCACTGGCTCTGCTTTTTGCTCGACACCCTCAGGTCGGTGCTCAATGTCTGATATACTCATCGTCTGCTGACCGAGCTGGGTTGGTCTGCAATTTTCGGAGCCTGAAGGAGCAGCAGCAAGCTCAACCTTTTTGAAAGTATCTTGATAGCAGGCTCTAGCCATCTTTTGATTTCCTTTAAGCACTCCTACCCCCTGAGGAGTTGGGAATTTCATGCAGAGGTGGGGTTGTGAGATAACAGCTTTCAGCTCGCACAAAGTAGCCCTTCCCAATATGGCGTTAAAAGCTGACTCCATCTTTACTACCAGAAAGCTGACGGAAGCCATCCTAAAGCGCGGTTCTGAGCCCACATAGATGGGTAGAGTTATGACCCCTTCCACCGGGACGAGCTGATTATCGAACCCGTAGATGGGTCCTTCATATTTCTGCAGCGAGCTCGGGTTCAACTGCATCTTCTGGAAGCAGCTCCAGTAAAGGATATCTGGCGAGCTACCCGTGTCAATAAAGACCTTGTTGACGTTATGATTACCTATATGGACCGTTGCCACAAATGGATCTGCGTGAGGCATCATAACGTTGGGTTCTCCGTCTGCTCGCTTATAATCTGCCGGGCTGAATGTGATAGTTGCATTCTCCCACTCTGCCCCCTCGAACGGCCGCTTCAAGGGCCTGTTTTTGTTGACTGTCATCACCTGGCGGGCTCGGGCACTCTGGCCTCCTGAGTGCATACCACCAGAGATCATATTGATTGTGCTAGATGGTGGGGGTATTCCACCATACCCCACCCCTCTATGGTCCTTTTGATTCTGTGTAGGTGTTTTCTGTCCTTGCCCGCGCCTATTGAACGGGCGTCCCCTGTATGCTCTGTTCGGCTCAGATGAGTATGGACCTGCCTGGTAAGAATTTGGATTGCTACCGAGCTGATATCCAGGTGCTTGAGATCGGCTGTACTCTTGTACAAAGTGGGTTTGGGTGGGTTGCCGAACAAAAGGCTTCTGCACATACCCCTCCAATTTTCCATTGCGAGCCAAGAATTCGAGCTCGTCCTTCAGACTCTGACAGTCTTCTGTGTTATGGCCGTAAACACGGTGATAGTCGCAGTATTTGCTTCTGTCAGCTCGTGAAGAATCATGCGTTTGCGGAGGGGGTCTCTTGACCCAATGCTGTATCTGTGCCAATATCTGGGATCGTGACGAGCTTAGGGGGATATAGCTGTCATATTTTGGATAGGAAGGTGGTTTCCCTCTCTGCTCGCCAACCTTCTGTTTCTTCTTGTCGTCTCTGTTTTCAGGCTGCTTGGGCTCTTTTCCTTGCCTGTCATCAGCTCGTCTCTTAGAAGATTGAAAATCTTCGAATAATATGAAACTTGCTGACCTATCATTTACTTCATTCCACGATTTGGGTGGATTCTCCAGCAGGTCGTCCAGAAACCGGCCAGGCTTCAAACCATGCAACAAGGCAGATAAGCAAATGGTATCGGGGACGTTATCAATGTCCAAAGTAGCTTTGTTGAATTGCTGCATGTAGTCCCTCAAAGATTCTCCCTCTTTCTGATGAACCTGCATTAGTTCAGTCGCTGTACGTTTAATCTCTCTTTGGCTCGCAAATTTGTTGGAGAATAGCTTGGCGAGCTAGGAATATGAGTCTATGGAATGTCTGGGGAGTTTGTGATACCATCTCCTGGCTGTTAACTTAAGCGTTGCTGGGAATACTTTGCACATCATGGCATCATTGGCGTTCTGGATTCTCATGATGGCTTGATAAGTGTGCAGATGTTCATCAGGGTCGCCTGAGCCATCATATGTCTCCAGGTGGGGAATTTTGAATCCCTCTTGATACGGCTCTGCTGTGATGGATAAGTTCAAAGGAGCACTATCCAGATCAAGAGTCTGCTGGTGCGACCTGGGACTTTTAGCTCGTCAATAGATTTCTATACGTCCCTTAACTACCTTTCCAGGTCTGCGTTCTTTCTCATCAGTTCTTCACTATGTTTGGACGAGCTGGGCTCGATATTCAGCTTCCCACTTCCCCTTGGCCTGGTCGGCACTACTATGTTGCTTAGCGCGGGGGAGTTTCTAGTTGCAACAACCGCAGCGGGTTGTGCATCCCTGTTCAACAAAGGAATCGGGGGATCATCAGGGATCAGGCGGGCAAGGATTTTACCCATTGCCATTTCGAGAACTCTAGTTCTTTCTTCGAGCTCGGTTGTCCGAGTAGTTCTGCTGACCTTTCAGGTCGTTCATGCTGTGAATTGTATGGTCTAGAAGGTCTTTGTCTTGTTCCTGTTGGAATTTGGAACTGTTCAGGCTGGGTTGCATACCCAGTTGGTGTTCTTTCATCATCCGTTTCACTTAGGTGATCCTGTTCTACTCCCCCAACAAAAAGGTTTCTTGGCATTGGCCTAAAGTCATTCAAGCCGGGCTCAGATAGTTGGGCGTCCCCCTGTTCGTCAATCTCATTTCTCGGAGGGCAACCTCCTATAAAAGTACGAACCATTTTGTCTTTCAGCAGGTTAAGTCACACAACTTCTTGTTCGAAGTTCCCACAGACGGCGCCAAATGTTTGAGCAGCTTCGCAGTCCAACACTGTTGAAGTCCTCAGCTGCTTCTACACCTGAAAATCCCGAGGTTGTTTTCTCGGGGAAAACACTCCGACGCTCCAGTCAGCAATACTCAATATTCTAAAGAGAGATGCTCTCAAGGAGTGATTGCGGAGAGAGAAGCGTAGGGATTAATTACCTCCATTGTTGGTAGTTAGGGGTATTTATAGCCCCAAGTACTAACATGCACCCATACATGTAAGTAACTCATTGGCCCACGTGGTGCTGCTCACGTGAATATGTCTCCTCCTCTTGGGCCTGTGTACGCATAGTTGGGCTTGCTATATGTGGCCCGAAGTGGGCGTTGGGCCTAATCCCAACAGCACTGGATCCCAATTTCCCCAAATTCCCAATCCTAACATCGGCATCTTCTGCCAGGTACGCGTGTTCCTCTCTAGATCCGTCGATTCAATGCTTGATTTCACGCTTTTCCGCCATTCAAATCGACCCAGTTTTGACGTCGCTCGATGCGTGATCTTTGATTGTGTTCATAGTTCCTCTTGTTGAGTTTAGTTTGAGAGTTTCTGAGTCTTAACGTAAGTTGGCTTAGATCTGACTTCTGCTACATGAAATTTGGTTTTTCTTGTTTTCAATTTCACTTTTGGTCTATGCATTGTTTCCGTATTGTATTTTCTGTTAGTGAATTGATTAGAGGAAGCTCAGGAAAAGGAATTTTGTATTTTCTTCCATCTTCATCTTTACGTGGTATTTAACTCTTTAAAGTGATTTAGCCTTCTGCAGCCTAATTGCAAGACTGAACTGAATTGTTTGCAAGTATGGAAAAGTTTTTAATTGCCTTTAAAAAGATGTTTCACTTTTAATTTTTGGTAGATAGTTGTGTGGAAACTTTAAGCATTGTGAAATTTTTGCATTTCTTCCCCTATTGATGAAAATGTCATTCTATGATGAAAAACATATTGTTTAGATACTGTGTTTTACATGGCCACTCAAGCAGCAATCAATGAAACCAGTGGATTTTTATGTCTGTATATGTTGTCGCTTGTCATTCTGCTTACAATATGATCTGTAATATATGCAATCTTTTTAGATTTATCTTACAACTAAGTTTTGTTGATTGCCTTTTTGTTAATTGCAGTGAATGTTATGAGTTTGCCAGATTTGGCCATCTTGTTTGTGTAGCTGCAAGGCATCTTGGCTCATAAATTTCATTTTTCTGAAATTGTGGTCAAATATGGGACATTTTAATCCACAACCTGGAAGCAATACATTTCATGGAGAGTTCAGGGATTGTCCTGTTAAGCCTTCCAGAGGTGCATTGGCATGTATGATTAATGCTGAAATTGGGGCTGTTTTGGCTGTCATGAGGAGAAATGTAAGGTGGGGAATCCGTTATGTGGCAGATGATGATCATCTAGAGCACTCTCTCATCCATTCTTTGAAAGAATTGCGGAAACAAATTTTTTCATGGCAGCATCAGTGGAACACTATAAACCCTGCTGTATCCCTCCAGCCATTTTTGGATGTCATTCGGTCTGATGAAACTGGTGCTCCAATTACTGGTGTTGCTTTGTCATCTGTTTACAAAATCTTAACCCTTGATGTATTTGATCTGGATACCGTGAATGTGGGGAAAGCTATGTGTCTGATAGTTGATGCAGTGACTAGCTGCAGGTTTGAGGTAACTGATCCAGCATCTGAGGAAGTGGTGCTGATGAAGATACTTCAGGTTCTGTTAGCTTGCATGAAAAGTAAAGCAGCAGCTAGGTTGACTAATCAGCATGTTTGCAACATAGTGAATACTTGTTTTCGTGTAGTGCATCAGGCAAGCTCCAAAAGTGAATTGTTGCAACGAATTGCACGCCACACAATGCATGAACTGGTTAGGTGTATTTTTTCTCACCTCCCTGAGATCAGCAATTCAAAACCTGTGATAGCTACTGGAAGTGGGTCATCTGCTGCTGAAGTGGTAATCATTTTAGAATAATCCTCTTGCATTTTAT